TTAAGAGTTTGATAATTGAGCTGCTTAGACTGTAGCAGTGATATTATAGCATTCCAAGTTTACAAATGTCTGTTGAAAAACCATCAGACACTATCTTTATAAAGGTGTTAGAGAACTCTACATTCATAACATAAATCGAGAAAAGGCTAGAGTAGGCCAAGAAAGAAACCATAGGCCAATAAATTTAAAAGAAAATTCAAGATTAATGTAGGCAAATTACACAAAAGTATGAATAGGTTTTAATTCTACAATAAATCTGGTCAATAAGCAATACTGGATTGAATGTTTTATTACATTAATAGTCCTGATATTGGTCTTTCTGTTAGATTAGGTGAGAAAATCAAATCAAAAGGGAGTGTATAGACATTTTGAACAACTATTTGTTGTCAGATATCAATACTCTTAAAAGAGGAAATATTATATTTTAAGAAGATAATGCACCATTTATACTTCAAGTCAACAAAAAAATAAAAAAGAAACTACAATATATAATTAGCCTTTCTCGGTCTGCGCGGAGTCCCGATCTAAATTTCACTAAACGTGTATTGGAAAAAAAAAAGCTCATGTGCATGATTATATTCACACAACATCAAAATTTTTTTCATAAACAATATCATCAACAAAATCATTTGAACTCTATTTATTGTTACTTAATTAAAATCCTAATGACTATCGATTTTATTTTTATGATCTTCGGTGCTTCTCATATGTTTGTTGACATAAAATAGCTATAATTTTGGTTTAAGATGGCCAAAACCTCTCAACTCTTTCTCAATTTCAATATTTAAAATTTCTCGATAAATTGGTTCATCATGCGTGACCAACTTATTATTATCAAGTTTGCATGTGTAATGTAGTGCCTTGTTATTGTTATCTTTGATAAGGAAATTACATAACCCTATCAACAGTTATTTATTGATAAAGAAGTATAAATTAAATAGATGATGTATTTCTAAGCAGATCTAGAATTCTCCAAAAGTAAATAATTGAAAGCATTGATTATAATACAACCACTATTGTACCAAATTTGCCTCCGAGATTGAGACCAAATAAAGAAATCGGCAATGGAAAAAATATGCGCGGACCAATTTTCCTTGCATGTCCAATTAATTAATATAGTAATAGGGACAAAGTCTGATTTCGTTACAAATGCCCCTGCATCAAGATAATCAAACCATCTTATACGGATTTCTAAATTTAGAAATTGTACCTTGTTCATTTGTATCACGTTTGATGTCATGAGACAAGTTTTACTTGCAAACAATTGAAACTCCGGTCTAATATATTAGCACTTCAGTAGACTTGTAGTATGTGTATTATAAAAGTTACATTATGAAAAACGATATATGTTTTGCACTCTTCATGATTGCTGAACAGTTACATGCCATATTCTTTAAGTTTAAATATTATTATGTGGTTCCGTGCTCCGGTATTGCAATGTTCGTACAACACTAACTATATTTCCGTGAAACATGCCGTGCGAAAGTTGCTATTTGGCTACACCGAATTATTATCCGTTACTTTTTACTAAAATTATGATCGTCTTGTCTATTTTTTTAAAGTAGAGCCAATAATAAAAACTTTTTTGTTAAATTAAACTACAATAGATATCATTGTTATAAGCCTTTATTTTGTTAAACAAAGCCGAGTAATGAAGTCACGAGTAAACGTAGAGATTGATCACAATTATACAGGTTGGCACAATTAGAAGATTTGATGTTATTCGCCAAGTTTTACGCACATCAGATAATTGTTACTTTATTATAAGTGTTTAGATAATCAGAATCAATGGTAAAATCAATGAAGGGTGATAAGAGAATAGATAACGAGTAACAATTATGTCGTGGTTGTGGCTTGTACAAGATCTGTCAAACTAGACAGTTTGACAACCAAAAGTGTTCCCGAAGCCGAAATGCTACTTCTTTTAAGACTGTCAACTTTTGCGCAGCTCCATACACTCTTTTGATTATGTAATCCTACTTTATTTGGCAACGAACAGAAAATAAACAATAACAGGTAAAAAACTAAAGTCTTTCTTGGCATGACTGCTTGACATTAGTTATTAACATGCTTAGAATTGGGGCAAAATTTGTTTTCGATTTTGTGACCTGACCTCCGGTTCATGTCACCGACAGTACGTTTCACCGACACAAATTTCATCGAAAACCAATGATAAGTGCGATAAACAATGTGTCACGTGAAATGACTGTCGGTGAAGTGTACTGTCGGTGAAATGATTGTCGATGAAATAAATGCCCCTCCGTTTTTTGGTGTTTATAACTACAGAACTAGCATTGTAATATTGAGCTCTATTTTTGTATACAAATAATAATAACACAAAGAGCAATCTGCTGCCTAGCTGTCGTTAACTTGGCTCATGTTTGTTGGTACGTATCTTTACAAGGCGAGAGACCTTTGGATACTTCGAATGTTATTTCTGCATAACAAGGACGGTAAGCGTTAAAACGATAGCTTGTAAATCTCACGAGACTGGAAATCGGTATTATCAGAAAACCGTAACTCTTTGTCTCAACGTAAAAACGTTATTGTATCAACAGAAGTCTCTCCAATGGCGTTGAATAAGTTTGAGAAGCTGTTGCCGTAAAGTTTAGGTTTGATAATAGGGGTATACAAGCGTACGTAACGTAAACGTATATAGAGGGTGATAAGAATACGTTGTCGTAGAACAATGAATGGATGCTATCATCACATAAAATGATTAGTTCATGATCAGCGTTAGTTTCTTAATAATTGACCCTTGGTTTGTGACGCATTCTTGAAAATATTACTACTATGCATATTTGCACTTTGATCATTAAGAACTTGTCCTGAAGATTTAAAAAATGTGTTGTTGAAGAATAATGCGTAGTTAGAAAAATATTTTTTTTATGTAAAATTTTTAAAATTTAAATATAATAGACACCATATTAGTAGACTACATATTCTTTTCTGTGAATCTAAAGAGTCAAGAACTCAGTCAACAAATGAGCATTGAGGGGTAATAGCCATTTGACTTACATCCCTTAAACTCATGCCTTTTCTCCTACTTTCTGTCCTACTTTCTCTCCTTAACACCTCTCCCTTTTCTTGAAGTCTTACCTGCATCTATTTTTCGTTTATTTTCGGAGCTTTTATTATTTGTTCTTGTTGCTCTGGTTCAGCATTTATATTTTACAAGTATCTTCCTCAATGAGAGCCGTTTCTTCATTATGTTGATTCCCTAAAGTAACTAAGTATTATGAGTCTGATGACTCACGTTTAAGATAAGCACATATGCACCGGCTGTTTTTTCATAATTGTAAGTTTTTCTAATAAAAAAGATTAATTAACAAAGCAAGTTTTTCAAGGGGTGAATACGTTTACATTTGAAAAGACATTGTTATTTATTTATCCGTACTACGCAAATGTCTATTACTATATTAATATAGCATGCATAACATAATCAGGATATGAATGTAGATCTTACTGTTTTAATTCACCACATGTACTTTCGTATTCTGTGGCTTGGAATAAAGTCGGTATATTCCTTTGTAGTTTGGAAATAAAGTCGTAAGTCGATAACAATCTCATTCATTAAATGGGATGTACTATGTATTTATTTGAATTGTAATATTGGTATTAGACATCTGTGGTAGCAAACAGAAGTAAAAGATCATTAGAATTCATGCAAAAATATACCACATACGAATTACATACTACCTGTTGCGGATTCCTGTTTGTACATGAATATGTGTTGTACGACATGTCGATTAATTACTGAACGAGGTTACATTCATAATAAATAAATTTGAGTGGGAAGTACGGTATATTTATATGGTATTACAAAGGGGAGATTGAAGGGTTTATATATGATATTTACTCTCATGAATTAGGCTGTACGCCACGCAAGCCAGCTTTTGGGGAAGTTCCTTGTGTAATGGTTATTAGGTCAGATCGAATAATTCTGTTATATATAATACGATGTCCATCGGTGCGATAGTACGGAAATAGTAATAATAGAGAAATACACTGAGGACAATAGTTTAGATAATTAGTAATAGCTGCCTAGACTCTTAAAAAGGTCATATATATATCGACGACGCTCATGGAGCGAGCCTCGACCGTCCAATTCTTGGGCGAGTAGATTACGATCTCAATACCCTAAGAATCATACAATATTCAAAATGTCTTCTGAAGATTGGAACAGTACTTCGACACTCTTGCTAAATTGGCTCTGCAACGGCCGGCATAAAGAAATTTATGATAAGAATAAAATTGACATATATGTTAATGATCTACGAACAGCATCGAAAAAGTTATAGTATTGGTGTATTTATAGTTTGCATAAACGTATTTATTTCTAATTGGACGTCCCATCATTCTGGTCTATACCGCTGATGATTAATCGTAGGGGAGATGTATTTACATACACACGTCCATTACATTATGCGACAATAATGAACGCAAGTATCTGATTTGGACAGTTGATGGCGTAGTGAATATGCTACGGATCTCACGACACACTTACTTTACTGTTATAGCTGAACCTACTTTCCGTAGTCATGTTTCGCAGTAATAATCGAGGGCGTCATAAATATTAACTTTTGTATTACACAAATATTTAGTAGATTGCGCAGTTGTAGATAATCATATCATATTAACATCGCAAAGGGGGCTCCTTGTTTATCCGCCGCTTTACCGTGATCTGCAAACTCTTGAATAATCTGGCTGTAGCAATACTGTTCGGATCTTTTTAAGAGAGTCGTCCAGAAATACATGTTTATTATTGGTCATAAATAAAATCATACATAAGCCACTTGTACTACTGTACTATAATTGTAATATGACGTTACCGGGGCTGATGTTTTTGTGTAACAAATAAAAAGTAAGACCATTTCTTTTATGCACATGAAACAAGGGGCAATGCACTACCATATATAAACGGGGTTTTTTGGACAAAAATCGACTGTATATGGATGGATTATATAAAATGTATAGAATTTTTTTCAGGCATTGGTGGCATGGTAATATATGTTTAAGTTCAAGAATTTGCATACAAACCACTATTAAATAGAAGTTGCAACCCAACGCATAGCATCTTGCCTTGAAAGTCAGTGGAGTTGCTGGTCAAGTAGTTAATAGTTTTGATGTCAACATTGTTGCTAATGCGGTATACAAGCACAATTTCAATATTGAGCCAATAAAGGTAAAATTTAATTCCGAAGGCGGTACATATATTCTAATGCAAATGATCTATTGTGGCGACATTATTAGTGGCTGGCATTAATTGAATTCCCATTATTAGACATCAATAGATGTACTTAAGCCACAAGACATTGACAAGCACAACGCCAACTGTTGGCTTCTAAGCCCGCCATGTCAACCGTATACAAGAGGTGGCAAACTGTTGGATGATAAAGATAATAGAGCAAAACCGCTCCTGCATCTCATTGAATTGCTGCCCCAATTGCGTTACCCGCCAAAATTCATATTTGTTGAAAATGTATTGAACTTTGAGGTATATTGTTTACTATTTAAGTCCAGTTTAATAATCGTTTATTGTGCCTTCATTGACAATAGCTATTGACTTGTATTATTAGAAATCCAAGTGCAGAGAAAAACTTGTCAGACAGCTTTGTCATCTTAATTATTCAATTACTGAATGTTTATTGAGTCCATTGCAATTTGGTATTCCAAATGATAGGCTTCGTTATTATCTTGCCGCTCAGCGCAGCCATGCGGCTCGAGCGCAGCCGGCTGAAGAGTACCCTTCTACTGCGTTCATACACACAACTTGGCCATTCTTTCCTGCAGACGAATCTGCTACAACGGCCACTACGCTCAGTACATCTAAGCCATCGATGACTCAAACCTTCAAAGTCTCTACTCTCGATTATTTCTTGCAGAGCCCACGATCAAATTTCAACGAATTCCTCGTGCCGCGCGAGTATTTAATTAAAAATTTGCAAGGGTTCCGATTTGGTAGGTACTATAACAGATTTCGGATGGGTTCCGTTCATTTCCCCGACCCGACAATTAAATGCCAAAAAAGGATAATTTCGAAATAATGTTGGTGAACATTTGTCGGGGAAATGATTGTCTGTCGGGGGGACCAGACCCGTACAATTAACTAATCCGGATCCATTTACAAGATATTGTACATCCAAACGATAGGCGTTCTGCGACATTTACAAAGGTTTGTTGATTCATTAAAATCATACACAGTAGTACATACGACAAATTATAATTATGATTTTAAATCTATTATAGGCATATGGTTCTCACCACATATATTCGTCAGGATCGTTAACGCGAACTAATCCAAAGGTACAAGCCATTATTATTGGGGAAAGTCTCTCAATCTCATCTCGTTCTCTAACTGTCGATATATCAAACACCCGCAACATTATCGTATCTCCGTCGATACATCATATAGCAGGTTGAATACGATTTTAGTAACCCAGTTTCGTTACTGAATCTTGGAATCCGATTCTTTACGCCGCTGGAAATTGCGAGATTACATACGTTCCCGGTCGAATGGGAATGGGAATACTGGAATGATAATAACGTCAATGGTGATGATCGTGATCTGAATAATAAGCAACCCAACAACGGCAAATTACCAAGAACATTTCACCCAAACTTGTTGGGAAGCGATAAATTCACATTTCCAGAGAACATCACTAATATACAAAAGTACCGGTTGTTAGGGAATAGTTTAAACGTCTGGGTAGTAGCTGAATTGTTCCGGTGTGTGCTATTTATGGAAGAGCAGAATTAGCGTGCGAGATTAGTAACGAGAAAAGGCTTGCTATGAATACAGGCGAAAGCGTTAAAAGGATTTACTTATACCTCGCTATGTTAGAAACCAGCACTCTCTGCACTTAGTTGGCCGAGATTGTAATGTAACCGCTTCAAACATCTGTTGCTAGAATCACCAAAAACATGCAATTCCCTACATCCTGGAGAGAGTCTTTGCAACGCTTTCCGCAAGCATGACTATTTTTTCTTATGAGAAGCGCACGACTTTTCCTGTGAGAAGCACTCCTATAGCAAATATCCAATGACAGAAACTTTGTCCAACCATATGCTTCGTAATAAGCCTTTTTTTATCGTTATACATAATTCTTTATAAAGTCAAAACTGAATGAGAATGAACCTATCGTACTTACCACTCGTTATCAATCCGGTAACCACGCAATTAATATGCAACACGTATTATGTCACACCCCCTGGTTGCATATTGATATAATGTAATTTCAAATGATACGGCGTATCCGTCGTGACCTATAAAGTTAGTAGTGTGATATAAGACTTTCTTATCCGGGCTAGAACTTCGGCATGAGTCCTGTTAGATTTTGGTAGAATAGTCGAACAGAAAGATAGTGGTAGGGGTGAGTATAACGAACTTATAGGTTTTTATTTAACCCAAGAGAGTAATAATATATAGAGCAATTAAAACTAAAAAATGTGTTCGAGGACCAAGTATTATCTTAAAAAAACTTAAATCGTAAAATCATCCTCTTAATTATTACATGCGAATGAAACCTTCGGCTGTTATGCAAATGAACTTTAGTCAGCCATTATTTTATGACATTAACTAAAATTCTTGACAAAATTGCCGTAATAACTTAAAAAATATGTTGAAAAGGCATAATATGAAAATAGGAATACCGATTGTTAAACAATAAGAGCTTAAAATGTAATGATCGTCAAAAAACCCAACCATAAATTTTCGTTTATTTGTGTGTGTCGTGTTGCTTCTCAATTACCACGTTTAACGGATTGCTTCCCGCGACTCTCACACGCTTTGACTGTGTGCCACCAGAATCCTCTTCTTCTTGCATGGACTTGTCTGTACGTGGCATAAATTTTTGTAGAGCTTCTTTAAATTTCCAGTTTTCAATTTCTTTGTTCAGATACTCGAATAATTGTTCACGCCATTTTTGTTGTAATTCCTCTTTCTCTTTCTTTGCCTCCTTGGTATTAGCCTTTCGCTTTTTAGAAGTCCTTTGCATGACTGGATCAACTGAGCTCAAAACCGGAACACGAACCGTTCTTGGTGGCTGATAATCGACTTTAAATCCAAACAACTTTGCTAGGTAACCATCAAACAAACATTTCATTACGGAATCGCTTTGACATTTTTCGAATAAAGGCAAAAATTTTGCCTTGAGAGGAACTTTCGCTTTGTAGTATTCATTGAAGATAGTAATTGAATCTGGCCAGCGCAAACTCGTGAGATCCGATGGCACTTGTTGAGATGGAATCTCAGTCATTAGGGTGATTGCAATTCTAACAGACGTTACTTCATTCATCAGATGTTTAGCCGCTTTCGACTGAGCGCCAAATTTGACTATGGTATATCGATATACTATGGGCGAGTATTTCAGGTACGTAAATGGCTGGAAAATAGACAGACTCTTGTTTGCAACGATATCCGTGCTACCCGTACTAAATTTAGTAAGAGCTTCTTTACCCGTACTAAATTTAGTAAAAGCTTCACAATAAATTTTTACAGAATGGACGATTTCGTATTTCTTAAAAACGGATAAAATTTCCTCTTCAGGTTTCTCGATTTCATTGACTATAAAATCGAGTAGATCATGTCGCTTGAGATTCCTGTCAGGATTCAACAATTCCGTCAAACAGATCGAGATAATTTGCCTTTTATGCAGATTGCGAACGACGGCAAATGCATCAATCAGTATTTCTCCTATGTCTTTTAATCTATGCTCGAATAAGATTAGAGCGTCTCCGATCAAGGCATCCGTCAGTTCGAATCCAAGCAATATCAGACTGTTTAGTTTATCAACGACTTGATCCAAACCTGGTTTAACCCAATCTTCGGAAGGACTTGGGGGATAAAGGATGAGTAACGATCCTTGCATAACCAGATCGTTCACATCGTTAACAATCTCGTGATACCCGTTTTTCTTCCAGGCTTCAACTAATTTGGGATAGATGAGAATAGCGCGTGCAATGACGTTCAGTTGCCTCACGTTCTCATACCCATCGGATGGCGGGTAGTCATCAAAATTAGCAGTACGTGACTCTGACTCTGTATCGGAATGTGGCTTCAGTCCAATATTCCCGTCATCTCTCTTCTCGAGAATATGCTTTCGGATTTTCGGTCTCGGAGGGAAAGGAGCAAACTTGTATCTCCGAATCAGCGTTTTGATCTCCTTTTTGTTTTCCTTCAATTTGGTTCTCGCTTGACTAATAACCAATGGACCAGCCGATAAGTAATAAAAGGACTCCATGTCATTTCCTCTGACAGGAATATCATTCCCGTCAAACCGATCATGACCCTCTTTGAGAATTCGGGAGAAAACATCAAAGGAAAGATTGCTTGCCCAGGGACTTCGAATTTTATTTTGAATAGATTTTTTTCGATCTGGATCGAGAGTACCCATGTTATGCGTCAGTTTAAGATCGATAAGCCTGCTGTCATACTTGCCAAATCCGAGCACCAGTCTTTGGATAAAGTATCGACTGATGTGCGCTTTCTGCGCAAATAGACATTCGACCACATCAAGATTAATAAAAGGTTCACCCATTCTTACTGCGTGAAACAATGCATGGGTTCTTCCGTGTCTGCCGATCAGCCACTTGGATTTTGTTGAAGGTAAATTCACGATATTATTCCATTCATGCGAACACTTGGCAAGAGACGTAGGATTTCTCAAGTGGAGAATAATTGCCACTTTAAGCTCTAGCGCCAGATTATTCAGAGACATACATAGTGGAACTGTCACAGGTTGGATTGGACAAGTAAGCTGGTTAGGTGAGATGGTATCTAAAGACAGATTCGAAAATATTGATTATAGAGTGTTCACGTTCAAAACGACAGCAAAACTCGCTACTTACTCATACCCGTATTTTCGGGAAAGCATTCACTCGCCGAAAGCATTGAATCAATGTAAACAAAACTTTTTCAAAGTAATATTTGTCGAGAAGACTCTCCGTACCTTTATTTAAACTATTTGCGCCGCTGATCAGATCTATTAATGGTAACATTTGAAAGCAAAGATTATCGGTACACAAAAAACCTTTACGCATTAGAATAAAGCGTATAAATATTTCTTTGTGTCACAGCTCGATAGAAGTTAGAACTAAGAGTCTTTCGCATGGCATGTTACTTAATTTTTTGCTTAATCCTATGGATGGAGAAAATTTTTTGGACGAGCGTGTGCATATTATAAACATCTGTCGTTATTATCGCAACGCATGATATGACTTTTTATACTATTACAAAGACATCAATTCCCTTATTAGTTGTGAATTCCCTTTAATATATTACTCGTTTTAGAATCGTAATACTCGATAATAATTTGAAATAACAATTTCCGGCTAGTTTCAGATTTGGAAACAAATGGTGCAATATATCTAACATTTACTATCGGCTTTATTAAGTGATCAAGTAGATTATTAACAGAAACACATGATATACTAATACGCTTTGACGCTCAATACTGGCATGTCACATAGTTATAGACAATCTACTCATGTTGGTTTCCTCCCTCACAGCATAAAAAAGCTTTACTAAGTAAAACGCTTTAAGTACAAGAAGAGCGAAGTATTCATTTTGTTATACTATTAATATATGCACGTGCTAATAACAGACTCTGTTAAGGGGAAGATATTCTATTTTCAAGAAAAGATCCTTTCGATAAGTAAGCGAGTTTGTTTGCTATCTTGATACTGAACACTTAAATTACAGAATTAATGGATTTTCTAAATCATTAGTAGATTTACTTCAACTGATATCGATTTTTGTTAAAGTTAAGCGCATTTGCGATAGTCAGTCACTATCTTGACAGGGACGGGTTTCTTAAACGTATTGCCTAAAGGCAACTGTTTCAGTCCAAAACAAAGTAAATAACGTCGGTTATGACCAAATTGCAAGATCAAAGAATAAAATAATATTGGCGAATGACCAGTCCGTTCGACGAAATAAAACCCCTTAAATACACCTTCTTGCAACATTCTATACCGGGTGACCAAAAGTATTGGTGATTTTTGGTCGATCAATAGCAAAAAATATGAAAAGTCCTTTTCCCCCGAACATTTCTGTTGCCATATATGTACTATATTAGTCACAATAATTTTTACACTGCGTTGATGTATTTTCGAAAAAGAGGAATGTATCGATGTTACAATTTGTTTATACATTGTCATGTGTTTCAAGTAATTTTTGCATATTAATATATTTGAAGCTAATCGGTGATTTACATAGTACGTATAGACATTGAGATTTTTTGGGGGGGTGGAAGATTTTTTATATGGTTTACTAATTGATCGGCAAAATCACCGTACATTAGTTGAGTGTTTAAGTCAACATTGCGGTCTTGGGGCTCCAATCAACAGGTGATCGCATAAAAAAGGACTTACGTTCTTTGGTAACCTCATAACCACATTTTGGGAAATAAAGTGATTATGTGCTCCGATAAATCTTGCCCCTTTCCATAACAATCTTTGAAATGGGATTATTATTATTATTACAATATCATTTGACTAAGCTTTGTAAGCATGCATAGTACGATATTGAATGAGATCTCAACGGGAAAAAGATTAGCATGGCTGGTGGCGCCTAAAAATGATGTCTCCAATTTATTGGAAAGACCAAATATAAATGGGATGATGAAATTATCAATATCTTATCTTTACTGATGCGCTTAATTTTGTGTTTGCATTGATAATCTGCAAATTTTTCAGATGCCAACTAGATCTTACATGGAACGCTTCTCTGATAGACATAATTCCATACTAATTAGCACTTTTGCCTGAACTGATTCACTACAGTATTTGAGGCTAAGATTTATATTATATACTAAACAGCAAACTAATGAATACACATTTATTTTTTGGGTCACGCAATATCTGCATTATAATCGCTACCTACGAATATAACCGCTGATTCAAGTCAACGCCTTGACGATTGAAGTTTGAGATTATCAACTTACTGATTGATATACGTTTCAGAATTATTTAGCTTAGATAATCACTATAATAAATCTTTATGTATTGGTAGTATCTAATAACTCATACCGGGTAAGTCCAACGAGAACTCTAGCCTGTAGATATCCAGGTATGAAGTCTGCAGTGTTATAGATCAGGGGAAAAAATCCGATTGGCCTTCCACAATCAGTCGAGCGTTCATTGCTTTGCTTAGATGTCGTAAGAAAAACGTGGAACGGTTAATAACTCATTGGCGGCATACAAAACGGGCATCTAGCAAACGTACTGAATTGTGTTGTTATTTTCCTTTAATCAAAGACTTAAATTAATAAAGAACTATTAGTCTTTGTTTTCGCTTTCATAAAAGCTGGCAAAGTAAAACTCGTATACACCACTGGACAAAAGTATTGGTAGTCAATTTTTCGAACATCTCTGTTGCCCATATACTGTACGTACGTGTACTATGTAAGGTACAATAATTTTTATACCGTTTTGAAGCTAATTGATTGTACTTTTTGAAAAAATAACGTGAAGTTTAAAAATAGTCACAGTATCTATGTTACATATGAAAATGTATGGACATCATATGTACCACCACTTTATCGAACTGCACGAGAACGGGACTGAATATATCATTACTTTTTTTTCTTTCGGAAATACAATCAATTCGCTTCAAAACGGTATAAAAATTGTTGTAACTTACATAATACGTACAGAAAATAGAGATGTTCGAAAAAAAGAAAATTTCATATGTCACTAATTGATCGACAAAACTACAGCATACTCAATCCGCAAGTTCAGTCCTAAACCTAGTAGAAGGCAAAGAAATCTTTATTGAGCAATTTTGTATTAAAGGACTTGGAATGACTCGAGGTTAAAAGAGACGTACAAAATTTCAATACTGGCTTGCGTTTCTTTCTTTTTTTTTAATATTAATAGGAACAAATTTGAAATCGTTGGCATATTCTTATTTAATACCATTATTATATTTTTACCACTTTAGAAATAGAGGCCCGGTGACAGATTACCAACACCAGCATGCATCGTATATTGCTTTCTATCAAAGATGGTATTATAGGTCGTTGACACTAATTCTTAAGAACAGTTTGCTGGTTTATTTCTAACCTGATTTAGAAGCAGAGCAATTTCATTGGTTGAGTACAAATCTGCGGGAATCAGGCGTTTACTTAGCCATCTTCTGATTTTTTGCCAAACTCAAGTTACACAGAGATGCCAATAAAGAAGACCTTAACTTTTCCTCGCTACTTGCTATCTCCGATTTGCGCCAAATAACCAAACCCTTTCAATACTTTCCTTTATCGGAAAGTACATTCTAATTGGGACAATCATGATATCGTTAATAAATAATAATTATTCCCACAGTTCTTTATCGAATATTCTTTTGACTTGGTAAAATATCAGCGGATCGATCATTCCACGATACTTTCACACCCTAAATGACGCTCCGAACCAAAAAATATTAAATAAGAACAAAAATCACGTGAACTCTAACCTAATATAAATGTAAAATTATATTTACGACGTTAGTCTCACATTCCTAATCATAAAGAAGATAATATAAATCTTACTTAGTTAAAGTAAAATTATATTTACGACGTTAGTCTCCCATTCCTAATCTAAACCCAAATCCTTATTCTTTTAAAAATAAACTCTTCTAAAGACGTTTTACATGACACGGGAATGGACGTCATTCTTAGCTTCAAACTTAAAACATTACTAATAATCTTCTGCGGTAGGTTCGAAAATAAGCCTCGATAGCAAAAAAGGGGTGGGTGCTTATCGTCGGTAATATTATTACGAATCAACAAAGGGTACTTTATGCCTGATAAATGTAATTATAAACTCTTATCGCACAACCTTAAAAGTAAATGTCGAACATTTCAAAAGAATTTTAGAAGTTTAAAAAGACTGCTGGTATTTTACGGGACGGCAAGCGCAATATCGGTTGTAGAGATACACTTATTCATATTGCGAATAATTCTTTCTTTCATTTCTCTGTCGGAGTCAATACTGCTTGAGATCACGTCTGCTATTACTAAGCCTACTTACGTTATCTTCGACAAATAAGTTCACCTATCAGACAAGATAACATTATTCAAAGAAATATTGAGAACTCCCTTTGGGATTTCTTGTGGTCACCCCCACCAATTGTACGTGTGCTTTATTTATGAATAGCATAAGAAATTCTAAATATTAAACGGTTAATTGTTGGAACGATTGGTTTTGCATCAACACTTGTCAACCGCATCTTGCAATCGGTCAGAGATATTGGAAATAAGATTTTCTGATTATCACTCACAGATATATCGCGACATTCAGAAAATATATACTGTATGTAAGGCAGCTATACGTTTATTTCACCGATATCATTTCACCAACAGTCATCATTTATCATGGTCAGAAGGAACGAACCATAACAAGTAATAAATCCTAGTATCCCGCACTTGCTTTCTTGCAACGTGATGACATTTGACAAAGTAAAGAAGGAATGGAAATTCCATCGATCATTGCTCTCAACCCAAATTCAGCAGTCAAATAAAACCTTGGTTCCCAAATTTGATCGCACCAAGGAGTCCGCCCTCCGTTTCCATGTGTTTGGGTTACCGTTATGTACACAAATAGTGGGGATCAGGGGTTTGTTTTTCACATGCTTGATATATCTCTCATATCGCTGCTGCTGCGCTGTTTGTTGAGTCGAGCAATCTTTATATATTCACGTTCAAAATACCCAATAAGCAAAAAACTGAAAGCCTTGGAT